TGTGGGGGGGGCGTCCGGGGTCGGGCGGCGACGTCATTTCGGCGCACGGAGGGACCAGCCTAAGAGGGGTCCCAGGTGAGAGGTGCTGCCCTCCCAGCCTGCACACTCCACCTCTGCAAGTCTGGGGCGGGGTGGGGGGGACCCAGTCCGGATACCTGGGTCTCAGCACCTCCCTAAGTGCCAGGGGCTACCCTGCTTTATCTCCTTTGCCGCAGGGCCTGTCTTTGCCAGGTGGAAATCATTAACCCCTTGATAGGGGGAAACTAAGGCCTAGAGGCACTTGAAATAATCCAGCTACCTACTGGGAGAGGTGCCTGTAACTGGCACATCTGGGAAGCTGGAAAACAAAAACAGCGAACCAGTCGCCGTCTGCAGCTTGTGAAGATTCCTGGTCGCTGTGACCTTCTCCTGGGTCTTTCCTCTCCGAGTGACCATGATCCTAGCTCCTAAAGGCTGAACATTGGCCCCAGACCCCAAACCTTCAGAAACCAAACCAAACAAACAGCTGCGGATAAAGCATGGAGGAAATTGTTAGATTTCATGATGTGTGCGTGTGTGTGTGTGTGTGTGTGTGTGTGTGTGTAGAAGGCAACATCTCCCCCCAAAGCCAGTATGAATCTTGTTAAGTATGCATATGGCCTAGAGGTGCTGTGCAGGGCCAGGGAGGACCAAGTTAGGCCTCTGGTGCTAGTATCAAGGTGACAAGGACAGGGCCTTGGAGCAGGTGTCCGCAGAGAAGGTAGACGTGGTGCTCTGCTCGGTGCCGTGAGTACTGAGATGGTACTACAGTGAGGTTCATGTTAAGCTTGGGATGGGTGACAGGTTGGTCAGGCAACACGGTCTGTTCCATTGAATGTGACAGTGAAGTGGGAAACAGAGCCGGAGAGGCAGAATGTGGCACCAGGGGTGAGGCAAGGCCTCAGGGGGAGAAAACAGTGTCCAGTGATTCCCGAAGCGTGGTCTTTTTCAGCTTCAGCGGCCTTTGCTTCATAATCTCTGAAACAGAAATCAACTCAATACAGTCAAAGCACAACCTGAGAATCCAGTGTTTTCCCAGCCACTTTACAAATCACCTTCAAAAGAAGAAAAGGCACCGTGTTTCTATTACTTCATGTACCCTCTGCCAAGCATCTACATCACCTGTGATCCTGGCTTAAATGCAGATTCTTGGGCCGAGTTCCACCGAGACTCCTATTTGGCGTGAGGTCCAAAGGTGCCCATGTGGCCAGAGCCTGCAGCTGCCTGTGCAAAGGTGACCCAATGCTTCACGTGATGTCAGCGACACTGCGGACCCTGAGGGGAACTGGACATCAAAGGCATGCAGTGGACACAGTGCTCCCCGTCACGTCACCTAGCAACAGATAAAACAAGAGTGGAGACCGGGGTGGACAGAGCTGGAAGTCACGGTGTGGAGTAAGCGCCACAGGAAACCGGAGCTGCTGGAGCACGGTCCACACTCAGATGGGAGTAAACAAGTTCTTGGTTTGCATCTCCCCAGGGAGATGTTTTCTCAAGAAACCAGGAGGGTCCTTTTGTTCTTCCTCTGTTGTGGCCAGTGATGAAGGTTACGCACCCAGGTCAAGCACCCAGGTCAGTGCTAGAGGCTGGAGAACGACTCTGGCCCACAATGCACTCCGGGCTGGGCTATGGGGTGCTTCAGCCTCAGCACCACTGATATTTGGAGCTACGCAGTTCTCTGTGATGGGAATTGTCCTGTGCTTTATAAACGTGTGGTGCCTAGCAGCATCTCTGGCCTCTATCTGCTGGATGCCAGCAGCACCCTCACAGTGGTGAAGAAATGCTGTATGGTTTCCCGATGACCCTGCCCCCATGAGAATCTGAACAAACACTGCAGATCTCGTGCTGTTCAGGGACATTTTTCCCCGACAGCATGGAGCCCCTTGTCCTGTCATCCGTTCATCCAGACACCCATGCCTTGAGCGCCCACCCTTTGAGGGGCTGGCGTCCCCCATGGGGGCCTAGTATAAGTGATTCTTCCCCCTTACTGATTTTCCACACACCGATGAATTGTTTCTTCTGACAGATTTGATGCAGAAAGAAAAACTTACACCTCACATGGTCATAGATTTATCTGTAAAACTTCCAGTTTTGCTCAGTGGCCAGTGACAAGGCCCAGTCTTTTCTGTGGGGCCGATATATAAACACAAAGCTGTAACTTCTGGATAACTGTGTACATTCAATTTTCCAGGAACTAGCCCTGCAATATGTACAAACGGTCATTAGATGGTGACAGAGTGACATGAGCTCAAGGTGTAGCCTTGAAGATATACCTGGCACTGGCACTTCTAAATTACTTGCGCATAGAAGTCTCAGCTGATTTTGAAACTATAAACCTAAGACACTACAACAACTATCAAAAGTTCATAGTAGACCAACACAGAGGAATGATGACTAATGCGTTGTGTTCTGTCAAAGCTGACCTAGAATGTGGCACAGGCTAGGCAGGCAGGCATGCAAGAAAGAAGGAAGGAAGGAGGGAGGGAGGGAGGAAACATTTGAGATAAAGGAAATCATAATTTCAGTCCTAATTAATAAAATCTTCTTCCCTTTTGTCCTGCTTTAAAAAAATCAATGGTATAGCTCTAGGTATTGGCTTTTCCTTCTTTTTCAAGTAACAGAAACTTATCCACCTGCACACCTCCCCAGAGCAGTATGTCTTAAGTAATATAGCCTTGCTGGCCAGAGCAAGACATACATGACAGGCTGGGATGTAACTCAGGTGGAGAGTGCTTGCCCAGCACACATGAGACCCTGGTTCACAACCAGGAGGGGAGGGGAGGGGAGGGCAGGAGAAAAGAGATGAGGGCTGGATAGGGCTGGGTGGTGAAGGGGAGAGGAGGCTGGATGGGAGTGGAGAGAGGAGAGCAGGACAGAGGGGAGAGGGGAGGGACAAGCAGAGAGAGGCGGAGAAGGGAGAAATTGCAAATCCTCCTATTTACTCTTCCCTTTGTCCCTGACCTTGAAGACACGAGTATCCCTCATACAGAAAGGAATAAACATCTCCTCCCTCACCACCATGGTTGAGTTTCTGAGCTATAACAAACTCCTTATTTTCTCCTCTCCTTTCCAGGTAAAGTGGAGGGACCCTGCCTCTCCTTCAGCTCCTCAAAGTTAGCATCAGTTTCTTGGGTTTTATTGGACAGGTATGTCTGGCAGTTTCCTGCAGAAAGTATTTTCATATCTAGAAAAAGATATGCTCTCCAAAGTCACCCATCGACACCTAGAAGAGGGAAAAATGAAACACCATAGCTTTATTTCAGCCTAATTGCCCAAAGGGAAAATGAAGAGAGGGAAATTATTGGCCTCCTTGAAGACTCGGGAGGTGAGGGATATTTCCTGCTCTGTGTGTCAGAGATGAGACTCGGTTAATAAATGCAGCCCTCAGAATCAGTGGACTGACAGAGAGAGAGAAGGTAGAAGATCACAGAATAACGGGTCCTAACTTTTTCCCTCTTCATTAGAGATGATCATCCAGAAAGACAAAGAGAAAGGTAGCAGCCTTTTTTAAAAAATGTATTTATTAGCAGTAGTGTCGGAGGCAGAATTTATTAATATCACAAGTAATTTTGAAATTAGATGGACCTCAAATACAATTTAGGGATTTGTGGCTGTTCTCCCTTGAGTTCTACTCCATCTTCTGTTTCACATTTTTATGACAGTGGTGTTGACTTCTTGCCTGACAACTTGTGGCCCTCTGAATTAGCTGCATAGTGAGGCTTCCTCTCCCTACCCCAGCTTTCCACTGTGCAGCGAACCCTCTGGACCTGCTCTTGTCCCCAGTTCTATTTATAGCCCTTTCCCAAGCCCTCCTATTAAAAGTAGCTTGCTGGCCAGACGCTGAAGAGGTAGTATTAAAACTAGACTACTTATTTCCACAAACGACCTCAAGACCAAGTTCTGAGCTGTCTGCGCATTGGAAGACAGGAATGTATACTTTTCAAAAGTTCTGGAAAACATCAGGCTGCCTAAGAAGAACAAATAACTGCTGTTTTCAGGGATTAGTTTGTAGCACAGCGATTCCATCACTCTCAGGCATAAGTTCTCCCTGAGCTGTAGGTCTCAGGCAACCAGGATTGGGAACTACTGTTAATCAGAATCACCTGGAAAATTGTTAGAAGTACACATACTTGGCACCCTCATGAATATTCCAATTAAGTGGGTCTGGGTTTCTGATGTAACTAAATATATTGCAAAACAATAATTGCAGCCCACTGTACTTCTCTTTCTTGGATGCCAGCACTACTTCCTAGCCAATAGGATTTAACTCCTGTGGGATGCCTTGCTCTCATTTCTTATTCATAGAGGTAGCCAAGTTTCACAGAGAGAAAAAAGGACAAACCTGGGACTGAATCCTTGCCAGAGTGCTGAGTGCCGAGTGGTAAGTTCTGATGTTTGTATTGTGTTTGATTTGTTTTGAGGGTGGGAGAAGGGAATTTGCCTTTGTAACTTTTCCATTTCCCTTCTTCTGGTTTAATCCATGATGCAGACACATCCAAATATATAATAGCACTTTGAAGTTGGCAATAAACACTGGGGTGGGCACCGGGCTCAGTAGAGTTCTTCACTGGTGCCGATCTGAACAATTTGGGAGGAAGAACCCATCTTTGAGTTATGGTCACTGTGCAAGATAATTGACGCCTGGTGTTGTCAACAGCCACCTTCCTGAGCTGTGACAAGGACATTAATGTACCGGTAGGAAAGGAAACAGAAAATACACAGCTCTGGATTAAGCCCCTGGCTCCTGTACCTTCTTCTTTACTCCTTGAAATCTCTAGCCAAGAAATCTCTCTCCAACTCTCCTTTGCTTTTAGGTTAGTCTTCGTAGGGTGTCTGTCATCTTCAGTGAAAGTAGTTCCAACACCTTTGCAATATCTACTAGCTTTCCATTACTACAACTAACTCCTCAACTATTTAACTTATAGAGAACAGAAGGTATGTTGTGGCTCGGAATTCTGAAGGTCCCAGCTGTGATCAATGGGTTCTGTTGCTTTGAGGCCTGTTGTAATACACATCATGTGAGGGAATAGAGCAAAACATTGCTGCTCACACATGGACAGCAAGTGAAGGAGAGAAAGAAGGGACCAGATCCGCACAGTCCCCTCTGGAGGCACCCCAGTGACCTAAAGACCTCCCGTTAGATCCCCCCTCTTCACCACCTCCAAGTAGTGCCACTTCCTGTGTCCGCTGGCCTTTGTGACTGCCACCCGATACCCAAAGAAAGTCGATTGAAAGGAGGAAAGGTTTAATGCTGCTCAGCGTGTCAGTCCGGGGCCAGCTGCTGTACTGCTTTAGGCCTGTGGTGAGCCAGAAGAGTGCGACAGAGAGAATATGCTCACCTGAGGCAGCCAGGAAACAGGGAGAGGGAGAGGCTAGCAAGCGGGGAGACAGGGCCAAGATAAACCCTCACAACCACACCTTCAGGGACCTGCTTCATCCAGTGAGTCCCCACCGCAGGAAGCCCACTGGGCTCTGCACTCACAAATGGATTACTCCACAGATGGAGTTAGAACCTTCATGGTTAGACCACTTCCCTGAAGCCCATCAGCTCACAATGAAGCCTTTAGCATGTGAATTCTGATGGATGTTTCAAATTCAAACCATGACCACCACCCTGGGGTGCAAGACTTTACTTTATGAACTGTGGGGGACACTTAAGACCCAAACTACACCCTAGTACTGTGTTCATCTCTAACACAGGTATAGACACCCTACCTCGCATTTATAGAATTTTCATAAGGCACGACTGAGGCAACACATAAAAAGTGGGTGATGCAAAATCCAGAGCCACTACTGCTCCATAAATGCCAATGTTCTCCTTCCTTTCCTAGTGTTCTTTTTTCTTCTTACCCGTGATCTCCTGCATAGAGCTAGAAGGCACTGGGTGTTTTCCCACCAAACTGTTGTCCAGGCCCTGACCCACTCCCGTCTAATTTCAGAATCGTCATTGCTAGATAGAGTAGCTGGGTATGCATTAGGAGATGGTGCTTCCTTCTGAGTGGGCACACAAAAGTGGCCAGAAGATGGACACTGTAGACGTGAAAGAAACAGCACACTTCTTGGCTAATGTTGCTTTACTGGAACAGGCTCTTGTGGTCTGACACCCACTGGGTTTCATCTCAGCCATTCATGGTGCCTACCTCAGCTACAGTCGCCTCTTCAGCCCTTTCTTCTTTTGGACTGGGGACGGACTGGAAGCGAAGAGCCCTCTTACAGCTGTGCACTGCACTCCTTTTCCTGAATCACCAGTTCCACTTAGGCCCCCACTGCTGGTGTCACATGCTTGTGCTATGAGCTCGGTCAAAAGGCCACACGGCGCAGGTGAAGAAGGCA